CCCTGGCAGCCAGGACAGTGGAGGCAATGGTGACTAGGAATCCCGAAGTCCACAAGCCCAATGGTAGCTGAAAACAAAGGTGACTGCTCATGAGCATGGAGTACTGAAGAGGGTGACACAAGGCCATAGAACAGTCATAGGACATGACAGCCAGAAGGACAAACTCAAGGTAGCCCAGAGGAGAGTAGAAGTAGCACTGAGTTCAGCAGCTTGGATAGGAAGTGGCTTTGCTGCCCATCAGCAAGTTTCCTCTGGCTTTGGATATGACGGATGTCGTGATGAAGATCTCCAGACAGGAGAGGTTACAGAGGAAAAGGTACCTGGGCCCGTAGAGGTCTCTTTCAGAGAGGATGAGGGAAACAATCAGCAAGTTTCCCCCTAAGATCACCAGACACAAAGCCAGGAGAGTAATTGCCATTAGGTGTTCCTGATGTTAGAGGGAGGAGTAGCCAAAGAGAAGGAACTCTGTGATGGTCGTATGGTTCAACATCTCAGCATCCGAGCTGTAATAAGTGAGGGCAGATGGTCATCATGGGAAAGAGCTTCAGGAGGTTAAAAGAAGATGAGACAGAACAAAACAGTGTAGAAGGATAAGACATTCATACAAAGATTGAAAGGAGAACAAAAGAGAGGAGGGGAGAATTAGCCTAGCGCAAGAAGGCATCATTTTATGCACTAAGAGCAAACGTAGTATGGGGGCTAGAGTAGGAATCCACTGTAAACTGTATGTAAGATCCTGTATTTGAGCTCTTTCCCCAAGAGTCACTTCACAGTCAATGGAGAAAAAATAGGGATTTCTCACTTGTTTTTACTGTAGCTTATTTAAACATGTATTTTAGGCTGATCAAAAATGTATTGTAGTGAAAGGGAAAACACGTCAGTGAAGTGGCTTTAGCCTTTTGATTAGGACAGAAACAGGGAGAAGGTGGCATGAAGACGTTGACAAATGCAGAAGTGTGTGGGAAGTGAAGGAAAGCAGGAGAGTTAGAAAAGAGGGAAGATTTATTCCCTGGAAAGGGTTTGATTATCAAGGAACACCAAAGCCCAACAGAGAAAAGAAAAACATGCTGTGTTCAAAATTGTTCTGTTTTTAAGACTGTCTTTCCATCCACGGTTGCACCTTTGCCAGGTAGAACAGAAAAATTATAAAGAATCTTCCTCAGTCAGTGACAACTTTCTTGCTGAAAAACAGTTTGATAAAACATTCTCGCTGTCAGAGGGAAAAATAAGAATTAAAAAGCAAAATAGGAGAGGAAACAAGAGGAAAAATCAAAGGGTGCCATTTTTTCAGGAGCCTCAACTATATCTTCTCATCCCTGAATGTTACATCCCTGGCCATCTCTTCTTTGTAAAGATGAAGTCCCACAGGGCACTTCACCTCACAGGTTTCTCAGTCACCCTTATCAGGCAGTTGTTCCAAATGTGCTCCAAAACCCGCCTGCATGGCTTGCACCTCACTGTATTGCTTTTAATGCTTGCATGCAGCTGGTTCATCTTGACTGGGGTGTCTCTCACAAGAGAACAGTACGAGGAGATGCAGGACACTGCCAATACCCCTCCTGGAGGAACTGTGGCTTCTTGGGGGTCTGGTACTGATAAAGCCGTAGGTCTGGACCCAGAGGGGAAGCAGCCCTTTGGGAGGGAGCTGCAGGAACGCATTTAGCTCTGCCTGGGGATGGACAATGAGTCATCTGGGAGCTGAGGGGTCAACAGGAGAGGGGAGAACATCAGGGACACCACTGCGGTGGGTGGATGTCTGCTACAGATCTCCTGATCAGGAAGAGGAAGTAGATGAGGCCTTCTTCAGACACCTTCTCTCTGCTGACATCCCACCTGATCCATACAGCAGTCGAGTCTCATTGCCAGCCCTTTCCAACCTGTGAGCTTGGGAGGTATTGTACAGTAGTCATGCTCTTGGCATTGCTCATCCCCATAGAATACTACCCCAGGAAGAGTCCTGAGCAATGTGAGAGGAACAGGATCTCCCATCCCAGGGGCTGGAGGTCAGCAATTTGCTCTTTCTCTTAACATAACACATCCAAGTTCACACAGAATCTCTTCCTTTCAATGGCTTTTGTCTACCGGTCATAATTTTATCCAGTTTTCTGCTCTAACCAGCCCCTGGGGAGCTTTTGTCAATAGCGTCCTCAGTGGGAGCCATTAACAGTACAGGAAACTTTGGAGTTTGTATCTGATACTGACTCCTTGAAATGTTTCATCAACTACCTCTCAGTGCCTGAGGTTGATGGAGTTGTCACCAAACCCTCCTGAGGGGTCATTAAAGTGCCTTGGGCTGTTGCTGTGGTGCTGAGCTGGGCCGGGCTCCTGGGCCGGAGGGAGCTCCTGGCAAGTGGGCAGCGCTTGCAGAGAGACAGCTCTGCCCAGGAGCAGCTCCTCTGCAAAGCGCAGCAGGGCTGGGGGCACTGCCTGCAGGCACCCAGGGCAGAGCAGCGAGGCACACACAGCTTCAAGGCAGCCTGGGCTGGGAGGCTGCTGAGAGCTCCGAGGAGGAGAAAGCGTCAGGGCCCTGGCCACAGTAAGTCTGGGGGTGCAGGGCAATGCAGCTGCAGCTCGGGGAGGGATTCTGGGGAAGGCGGCAGAGCCGCCAGGAATCTGCCTCCTGCCTAGAGGTGGAGGAGGAGGAGGAGGAGGAGGAAGAGGACGCTGCTCCCAAGCAGGACTTCCCTGGTGCCCCCTGCGAGGGCCAGGCCATGAGGGCTGCCTTCTGGCGGGGCCGGCTGCAGGGGTGTGCAGCCGGGTGTGCAGGCAGGGGTGCCCAGGGCTGTCCTTCCCAGCAGGGTCCCTACACCCCAGGGGGCTGTGTGCTGGGGCAGGGACTCTGCCTGCCTGCCAGGGTCAGCACTCAGCCTGCCCGGGGAGCTCCCCACGGCACTGTGGGGAGAAGCTGTGGGGGGAAGGAGAGACCCCTGCTAAGGCAGGCTCCTTCTCCTCTCCAGAGGCTGCTGCGTGGATCAGGGATGCTCACAGCTCCAGATATTCCCCAGCTCATTTCACAGTGAATTTATCACAAATACTTCCAGCTCAGAGATTTCATGCTTCTCTTGGTTTTTTCTAGACTCTCTGCTTCCTATTTTCTCTTGCTCATCTTGGTGGGAAAAGGAAATACAGCTGTGTAGATGAGAGCAGGGGCTGACACACTTACAGCTTTCACAATGATATTTAATATGAACCTCAGTAAGTGCCTTCATCCCCCACCAGCCTACAGAACACACCAGCATCACCTTAACATTTTCATCAGGGTTTGGGTGGGCTGTGCTTTAAGCCCTGCACACACAGAGATACTGCAGGGCAGAGCTGTGCTCACAGGGGCTGGGATGGGGACTGTGAGCACTGGCAGGGAGGAAACATGGGCTCAAAGACAGAACTGCCAGCCTGGACACCTCAAGGCAGTGGAGACCTGGGCAGGGAGGGAGGGAAATGCTAAGGGAAACCCTGCTGCAGGGCAGACTCCTTCCCTGAGCAACACTCCTCTTGTCTCCTCTGCCACCCAGCACAGCCCTTAGCCCGTGGCTCCTGGCCGTTAGTCACCTCCTGGCCCAGCAGCCCAGCAGAAGGGATGAAGTGCATCTCTGCTGCCAGGGGCCCAGTTCCCGCTGAGCAGGGCCTGAGGGCGACTGTCCTGCATTGCTGCTGTCTGGGAGGTGCTGTGCAGAGCTGCTGAAGGGAAAGGCTTTCCTGAGTAGCCCGTCTGTCCCTCTCCTTGCCTTGCTCAGATGCCCTTGGTGTTGCTGACAGGCTCTCTGGGAAGGGGGGTTTCAGCTGCAGAGTCAGGCACAGAGCTTGGGAGCCCTCCTCTGCAGATGTGCCCCCAGCAATGAGGTGTCCCAGCTTTCCTCTAACCCATGAAGCTCTGGGCAATGCAGTCTGTGAGGCTGGGCCAGGAGCTGGCTCTCCCTTAAGAAGTTGCCTGTGGTTCGGACCCTTGGCTCTCTCCTTGGGGTGTCCATCGCAGCTGTCTGCTGCTTCCAGGGGACTCTGTGAGCCGTGGGTGTCATTGGCTACAGTGGGGTGCTGAGACTTGGAGAAAGGGTGAGTCACTTTGGTGCTCTGCAGTGGATCCCTCTGCTCTCAGCAGTGTCTAGTTGCTTTTCAGGGTAACATGAGAGTGTAATCACACTTGAACTCAGAAAGGTGCAATTCAGGGCAGACTGGGAACAAGACAGAAAGACAGACCAGCTGCCCTCACTCTGCACTAAGGCACAGAAAATCCTCTTGCCTCACTCAACTCACTCTTCTCTCCCTGAGTGCAGCCGAAAACCCTCTCAGCCTGTCTTCTGCTTTCCCCATTCCTCACCACTGGTAGAGCAAAGGCTGACAAGCCCTTCTGGAATAGGGCAGGTTTTTTCTGACAGAGTCACAGAAAGAGCTGACTCCTTGGCAGACAGCATGCAAAAACCCTTCCCCGCATGAAATGCTTGTCCAGCACCTACCACAGCTCCAGCTACAGAGCTGAAGGAAGATCTCAAAAAAGTGGGGTGCCATGTAGTGGCTGGGATGGGATAAGGACAGAGGGTGTTGATATTTAGTAAGAGAAATATACCCTAATGTGTTGTCATCTTTCCTCCTTGAACAGGCTCATACGTCCAGATAAAGCAAATGTTAAATAACAGCTCCATCACCCACTTCCTCCTCCTGGCATTCGCAGACACGCAGGAGCTGCAGCTCTTATACTTCTGCCTCTTCCTGGGCATCTACCTGGCTGCCCTTCCTGGGAAATGGCCTCATCATCACAGCCATTGCCTGCGACCACCACCTCCACACCCCCATGTACTTCTTCCTCCTCAACCTCTCCCTCCTCGACCTGGGCTCCATCTCCACCACTGCTCCCTAAAGCCATGGTAAATTTACTAACAGACACCAGGGATATCTCTTACTTGGGATGTGCTGCACAAGTATTTCTGTTTCTATTTTTGTTACCATCAGAGTTTTCTCTTCTCACCATCATGGCCTATGACCGCTACGTTGCCATCTGCCAACCCCTGCACTACGGGACCCTCCTGGGCAGCAGAGCTTGTGTCCACATGGCAGCAGCTGCCTGGGGCACTGGGCTGCTCAATTCTCTCCTTCACACTGCCAACACATTTTCCCTACCAATCTGCCAGGGAATTGCTGTGGACCAATTCCTCTGTGAAATCCCCCAGATCCTCAAGCTCTCCTGCTCAGATTCCTACCTCAGGGAAGTTGGACTTATCATGGTTAGTGCCTGTTTAGTATTTGGCTGTTTTCTTTTCATCATGCTGTCCTATGTACAGATATTCCGGGCCGTGCTGAGGATCCCCTCTGAGCAGGGACAGCACAAAGCCTTTTCCACGTGCCTCCCTCACCTGGTCGTGGTCTCCCTGTTTGTCAGCACTGGCATGTTTGCCTACCTGAAGCCCGCCTCCATCTCCTCCCCATCTCTGGACCTGATGGTGTCATTTCTGTACTCAGTGGTACCTCCAGCAGTGAATCCCCTCATCTACAGCATGAGGAACCAGGAGATCAAGGATGCACTGAAGAAGCTGATTCAGTTAGCTTCCTCTCAGAGGCAATAAAGTGCCATTGTTTCTTCAGAAGTGTTTCAAATTCATCTCTGAAACCTACCGTACATTGATCATTTTATTTGTCTAAATCTTTTTTTTTTCTAGAAATATATGCAGTAACTCTTCTTCCTCAGAAACATGAACCAGCCTCTCTGACCCAGACCCTTTGTGCGTGTGTCTGGTAGGACAGTACAGCTGGCCTCCCGTGCCACATAACCATAATAAAAGGGATTTTCTTAGTGCTGATTCTGGAGGTTGGTTTCTTCTTCCAAAGATGAGGTCAGGAACAGGCTGAAGGAATTGCCCCTCTGAGCGTGCTGCTGTGCTGGGGTTCTCCAGGGGTTCAGGGCAGGAGGGCATGGGGGGATGTGTTAGGGAATAGGCCTGTGCTGCCCCTTCACGTGGGGGTGCCCAGTGCAATGGCAATGATGGCTGATCCATGGGGATCTCCCTGGGACCATCTCCCCGTGGCTTTCAGCCACCACTGCCCTGCAGAGCAGCACCGCCAGCTCAGGGCTGTGCCTGAGGTGACATCCCATCGACAAGAGCAGACCTATTTCTGGAGGCACCAGTTTGGGCAGCTTTTCTCTGGCTGGCACAGCAGGAGCTGCCTGGGGAGCCCCCAGTGCAGGAGTCTTGTGCTGGGGAGAGGGACGGGCACAGAGGGGCTGCCAGCACTGGGCAATCAGGATCTCTTGGAGAGAAGAGCAGCAGAGAGAGGGAGACACTGGCCTGCGTCTGCTCATGCCATGGCTGGCGCCAGCCCTGGGGCTGATGGGGAGGCTGAGAGCCCTCTGTGCCCCAGGAGCTGCTGTGACCTTCCGAGGGGCTGGGGCTGTGGGGTGAGTGCCCAGAGCTCTGCAGCACCCCCCAGCCTATCTTGCTGGTCATTTCCAGCACTGGCTGCTCACCCAGGTTTATGGGTGAGCGTTGCTGCTAAACCATCTCCATCCTCCTGCTGGTCTCAGTGCCTGTATGGGGGGACCGGCCAGCCCTGCCCGGCCTCTCTCCTGGTGCAGACCCTGGCAGACCCCAGAGAAGGGCTGTCTGTGAATCCCCACATGGGACACAGCTGGGGCTGGGAAAGTGTTGGATACTGGGGGAGGCTGCAAATTGTATGTTATGAGATTATGTCTTGCTGGGGCTATGGGGGGGACAATGAACTGATTGCTCTCACTGGCATCATAATGGGGGGAACTTGCCCTGCCAACAAGTAGGCTGGGGGTGTACAAGAAGCTGGGAGCGGACACAACTGGGACACTTGACCTCAGCTGACCAAAGGGACAGTCCATACTGTATGACATTGTGCTCAGCAATCAAAACTACAGGAAAGCAGGAAAGGGAGATGTTTGTAGTGACAGCGCTGGTCTTCCCAAATAACCGCTGTGAACGAAGAAGCCCTGCTTTCCTGGAGATGCCTGAACACCTGCATGCCTGTGAGAAGTAGTGAATGAATTTCTTTATTGTGTTTGTCACTCGCTCACAGCTTTGTTTTATGTATTAAGCTGTCTTTACCTCAACCCATGAGTTTTCTCACTTTCACCCTTCCGATTTTCTCCCCCATCCCACTGGGGAGGAGTGAGTGAGTGGCTGTGTGAGCCTAAGCAGTCTACTGTGATTAATCCACAACATCTCAGCCTCTCTAGATCTCCCTGGATGGCAACTCTGCACTCCAGCATATTGACCCTTACTTCCACAATTCAGTGGCATCTTCAAACTTAGTGAGAGTGCACTCTTTCAGTTCTTCCATGTCCTTGCTAAAGATGTTTGCCAGGACAGATCCCAGGGTGAACACTTGCAGTACTCCATGTGTTACTGATCTGCCTGCAGAGAAAAATTCATTCACCATGAACTTCTGAACCCCACCGTCAAACCAGCCATCCACAATGTAATGTCCTTACTTGGGCATCTGGCCAGGCCCAACGAGTGGTGGTAAATGGCGTTCAATCCAGCTGGTGGCCGGTCACAAGTGCTGTTCCCCAGGGATCAGTATTGGGGCCAGTTCTCATTAATATCTTTATCAGTGATCTGGATGAGGGGATTAAGTCCACCATCAGTAAGTTTGCATGCAACACCAAGTTGTGCAGGAGTGTTGATGTGCTGGAGGCTAGGAAGGCTCTACAGAAGGGTCTGGACAGGCTGGAGTGATGGGCAAAGGCTGATTGTATGAGGTTCAAGAAGGCTCAGTGTCGGGGCCAGCACTTCGGGCATAACAACCCGATGGAAATCTACAGGCTGGGGGAAGAGTGGTTGGAAAGCTGACCAGCAGAAAAGAACCTGGGTGTGTTGGTCAACAGCTGGTTGCAAATGAGCCAAGAGAGTGCCCAGGATGGTCCAGAAAGGCAATAGCACCCTGCCTTGTATCAGAAATGCTGTGGCCAGCAGGATTAGGGCAGTGATCATCCCTCTGTACTCGGCACTGTGAGGATGGCACCTTGAATACTGGGATCAGTTTTGGGCCCCTCATTACAAGAAAGACATTGAGGTGCTGCAGTGTGACCAAAGAAGCGTAATGAATCTGGTGAAGGGTCTAGAGCACAAGTCTCATCAGGAGAAACTGTGAGAATTGGGGTGTTTAGAGTAGAGAAATGCAAGCTCAGGAGCACCCTTATCGGTCTGTACAACTACCTGAAAGGAGGTTGCAGTGAGGTCTGGGCCAGTTTCTTTTCCCATGTAACAAGTGAAAGGACAGGAGGAAATGGCCTCAAGTTGCACCAGGGGAGGTTTAGATTGAATATGAGGAAACATTTCTTTACTAGAAGGGTTATAAAACATTGGAAAAGGCTGCCCATGAAAGAAGTTGTGTCACCATTGTTGCAGGTGTTTAAAAGACATGTAGATATGGCACATAGGGCCAGTGTTTAGTGGCGGGCTTGGCAGTGTTAGTTTAATGGCTGGATTTGATGACCTTAAGAATATGTTCCAACCTAAATGATTCTATGATTCTGTGACTGACCGGGAAGATGGGGAGTGAGGCATGGCCTGTTTAATGTGTCTCACATATATGGAGCTCCTCTATGGGACAGGCAACATTTTAAGTTGGTGCTTGTCATAAAATCACAGAATCACAGAATGGTTTGGATTGGAAGGGACCTTTACAGATCATCTAGTTCCAACCTCCCTGCCTTGACTGATTAACTTCTATTAGTTCTTTTTCCTTTTTTTTTTCTGATTCTTCATTGTTTTTAAGACTTGTCAAAGAAAAACAGCAAGTACACCAAAAGAGATATTGAGTGAATTGCCAGTGAAAACCAGGTGAGCTACCCCCATGCCTGTGGCTTCCTGGCAAGGAGTCTGTCCTGAGAAGGGGATCCAGCCTCTGCCACTCTCTGGAGAGGGAAATCAGCAGTGCCCATGCCTCCTGGGGATACAAAAGGAGACTTTTACAAGAGCAGCGTTCATGTGAATCTGCTTTGGAAGGGCTACTTGAGGATTGTTTACATTGCAGATACAGATTGAATTGATATTGCCCAGCATGTCTACAAAGCAAGCAGAATGCTACATGCACTAATTTACACTTAATTAATTCACTTTGTTTTGTTTCTTTGTTTCTTTCAGGTACTGCTACTCTTAGGGAAATCATACTAACATCTGAAGGATTCTTGACAGAAGCCTCACTGTGTTTACATCTCAAGGAATGGAATGCCAGAGGCCATGGGAAGGAAAGGTTGGACACTCATCAGGGTTTTAGTAAACCAAAACGTGCTCCCCTCTCCCCAGCACCATACCTTCCTTATCGAGAGAGGTGAGAAACTCTGCAAACTAGATCTGGACTCACAGTTGTGTAACTTATGCCTAGTTGAAAAAGGTGCTTTCATGCAAGATCATGTTTTGAGATTTCATTTGAGCCCAAACCATTTAAATTCACACTACCTCCATCTTCATTCAGATGCTGCGTGATGTGTGAAAGAGCTGTCCTGTATCTCCAGGCAGGATGGGCAAAAATTTGATGCCTGAACTGGAAATTGTCCCCTTGCCAGCAATGTGAATGCAGCATGCTGGAGCCAAGAGGCCGAAGAAAACTAATTTCCGTAGGAACTGCTAATGAAACATCCCGTAGGCCATGGGACTTCCTTTCTGCTGATAAAGAATTTGTAAATCCAGATGATACAGCTTCAACTATTTTTTTATTTTTCTTTGAAACTTGTTTCTCAGCACTGAGGTATTTAGACTGTATTGTTACTTTAAAAGTCTGGTTTTGAAAAACTAGCCCAGTGTGTGGAGATTTTTAGTGTCTAATTCAAGGAGGTGATGGGGGTTATACTCTGGGTAACTCTTATAGGGTTCTGTCATGAGTTTTGCTGAATCCTGATGATTTCCTTGCCTAAGTCTACTTTCTAGAGAAGCCTCACCTGGAGTTCAAAGTACTCAGGGTTGTCAGGAAAGGCAGGCCTTGCCACAACAGATTCCAGCCTTTCCAGCAGTTCAGAAGTTGCAGCCTGATTTGAGAACTAGTTTAGCAATGCTTCCTCCCTGCAGTGCCTGGGGAGAGCTGAGCTGTGCCTGGGTCACTGAAGGAATTGTTGGTGCTGTAAGCTTCAGGTCACAGTGCAGAACAGGGGGCATTTTTTGCTGCTGGCATGTCAATCTCAAGATGTGGGGAGAAAAAGGCAAGGGCAGAGCAGGGCATTAGATCTGAGTCAGGGTTTGCAGAGAGATCACAGAAGGGAAGATGTGGTGGGGTAGAAGCAGAGAGTGAGGCCCCAGGTCTTTGTTCCCAGGCACCGTCAGCACAGAGGTCAACCCTTCATGCTGAGCATTGCAGATGGGTGCTGGATGTCCCGAGTCAGGGAACTGCTGATTTTGCTGTGGGTATTTGTGCAGGGAAAGTGTCTGAGTGAGAGCTGAGTCTCAGCCCTGTCTTGTGCTGCACAGGTCCCCAACCCATCTCCCTCCTTCCCCAGATCCCCTGAGACCCAGTAACTTCCAGCAGAGATGCTGGGGAGGGGCTGGTGGTGCTGAGTTCCGGCTGGGTTGGGCTGTGTTGGAGCCAGCCCTGGCACTCACCCACCTCAGCTGGGATGGGGGAAAAGTCAGACCAGGGTCTGTGGGTCCATATCACCTGAGCCCTTCTCCTCCCACAGGGCTCTGTCCTTTCTCAGCTTTCTCCTTTTTCTCTCCCTTCCTCACCATTCCACAAGCTCAGACCCTCAGCTTTCTGACATGGACTCTCACTCATCCAGTGGGGAGGGCTGGGGGCTTTACTCATCCTTGTCAGCTGTTTGTCTTCCTCTCTTCCAGAAGACAAACATTCTCTGCTGGGAGGTGGGTTTGACAACACTGAGAGCACCATGTATTTCAAGGAGCACAGCTGGTGAGGCTGCTTCTCAGGCAGGCACTTTCCCTGGCTGTGCCCTCAGGCATGTCCCGGGCATCGCCCATGGCCCTGAGCCTGCTACTCTCCCACCTCAGCACCAGGCACCCCCGGGACACCCCTCCCAGTGCCCGGCAGTGCTGAGCAGGGAGCCCTGCAAGCACAGCTGGCTGTGCCAGGTCCTGCTGCTGGGCTGGATGTACAGGGGGGCAGCCCCAAATCCCTGGGGACCCTGTGCCGAGGAGGTGAGCATGGGGAGTGAGTGGTCCTCACTGGCATTTTCCTTCCTCCCTGAACAAAGTCTCTCATGAGATTTCTGGTTGATACACATTTATAATTTTCTTTAATTTCTTTTTTTTTTTCTCTTTGTTTCTCACCTTTTCTTTTACTGTCTCACACACAGTGTGGTATCAAGCATCCTTTGTCATGATCCCATTGAACACTCCCTTTGTCTGAGCTGGAAGCTCCTGACCTGCTCCTTCTCAATGCAAGAAATTGGCCTGCTCAGGGCAGGAATGCTCTCCTCAGAAGGGCAGCATTTCTGAGAGCTGAGACCACTCACCCAGCACTGTGCTCAGCCTTCTCCCAGTTTGAGAAAGGACATCTGCCTTGATCTTTTCACAGAAACAATTTATTTCATATCATGGCACTGGTTTTCCTTGGAAGAGCACAGAGGATCTCAGTTCTAAACAGCTATTCTGGTCATGTTGAGAATCCCCCGAGCACAGGAAAGCAGGATCTCAAAATGTGAGCAAATGCACATGATGTTTGCGTTCCAGCATGAGGAAGAGGCAGCTCCATGGGGCAAGTCAGCCCTGTGGTCAGAGGGACTGCTCTTGGGACAAGTGGGTCTGTTGTCTTGCAGAACCCAGGTCCCTTAATTTAGTTTAAGGAGAGAGAAAAATAGACTATGAACAAAGGAAAATAGCTGAGATTTTTTTTTTTTTTTTTTTTTTTTGTAACCTTTTTAATCAGTAATGTCCATCACAGTTCTTTTACTTAGTGTGGAAATGCAGTTGTTCTGTCACAGGCCTCCTTCCTGGCAAGTCGGGGAAGAAAGAGAAACAAAGCTGTATGGAAAAATGGGAAGAGGAGAATCAGACATCACCCACGAAGTTCCTGCTGAGGGCAATGGGGAATGTGCCCTCACTCCAGACTCCACTCTTCCTCCTGTCACTCATCATGACTGTGATTGGGCACATCCTCATCGCTGTTTTGATGGTGTCAGAGCAGCATCTGCACACCCCCACGTACTTCTTCTGGGGCAATCTGTCCTCCTTGGAGACCTGCTACAGCTCCACCTTCCTGCCCTGGCTGCTGGCCAGCTTGCTGAATGGGGACGGGACCATTTCTGCTCACAGCTGTATGGCTCAGCTCCACTGCTCTGGCTGCTTTGCAACTGCCGAGTGTTACCTGCGGGCCATGATGGCCTATGATTGGTATCTGGGCACGTGCCAGCCCCTGCTCTATGCAGGCTTCATGACCTGGAAGGTCTGCCTTCAGCTGGTGGTTGCACCTTGGCTATGTTGGTGTGTGCAACAGTCCCAGTCTTCTTATCCCAAATGAAGTTCTGTGGCCTCAGGGCAACTGATCACTTGTTCTGTGACCTCTCTGCTGGAGATTGCCTGCAGTGGCACCAGCGTGGTCACACTCACATCCTTCATCCTGTCTTTCCTGAGCGTTGTCTTCCCCTTCCTGTTTGCTTTTGCGTCCCATGTGTGCATCATAGCTGCCATCCTGAGGATCCCATCCAGCATGGGCAGCAGGAAGACCTTCTCTTCCCACTCCTCTCCCCTCATTGTCATCTCTCTTTTCTCCTGCACCCGTCCTCACTGTCTACCTGCTGCCCAGAACAGCCCCGCTGAGGCAGCTCAACAAAGTGCTCTCCCTCTTCTGCCACTGTCCTCACACCCCTGGTCAATCCCCTCGTCTACAGCCTGTGGAACAGGGAGGTCAGGGAGGACCTGAGGAAAGCTCTCAGGAAAGACAAGGCCTGCACCCAGGGTGCACAATAATGTTCCACCTGCAGGGATGAATGCTTTGTGCTTCTGTTTTATCTCAGTAGGGAGGCCTTGGGCAGGCCTATGGTGTCCAATGCCGCAAACATTGTTTTAGTAGGGTGTGATATTGAGCACGTTTGTGGGATGGGAAAGGTCGAGAGGAAGACATTTCCTTTTAGAGAGTTCATAGGATCAGAATCAGAATGGTTTGGGTTCGAGGGGACCTTTAGAGGTCACCTTGGTCCAATCCCCCTGCAATGAGCAGGGACATCTTCAACTAGAGCTGGTTCATCAGAGCCCTGTCCAACCTGACCTCGAATTATTCCAGGCATGGGGCATCTATCATCATTCTGGACAATGTGTTCCAGGGTTTCACCAATCTCATTGTAAAAACTTTCTGCCTTATATCTAGTCTGAATCCTGTTCTCTTTTAGTTCAATACACCTACACACAGGGCTCTTCGGAGACACGAGTCCTTCCCTTGCACACGCAGAGGCAGTGCACTGCAGGAGCCATAGTGTCTCTCAGAACTCCTGCTGCCACCCCCAGAGGCTGGGAGGCACCTCAGCCCTGCGGTGCTTGCCCTGCTCTGCACCCGTGGGAGATGCCCCGAGGCACGAGGAATGGACACAGGGACCGTGGTTCAGGGAAGCACAACCCAGTGCTGCATTCAGGGGGTTCCCCAGGGGATGTGACTCTCTACATGAAGTGACTTCAATTTACAGTCAGTGTCACAGGCCTTCATGGCACCCCCAGGAATAGCTGATGGATTTTGTGCTCACTCAGATTTATTTCACCACACACACATGATGTGCAGGTTTATGGTTTGTAAAATGCAAAGTTGAACTTCTGACATAATCATTTGGTGTCACTCTGTGGAAGGATAAACAACCTCTCTGTTCTGCAGTGAGAGACCTGTGCTGTAAATGGTGGTTGTTATTGTATGATCTGTGACAATTGTCCTGGGGCAACTTCCCCAGGGTGCCCAGCGCACATGGGCACAGGTTAGTCCCCACTTTGCTGTTCCTTCAGGTCTCTCACAGGAGCCTGGCTGTACAAGAACACTGCTGTGTGCCCCTACCCTGCACACACAGAAACACGCTTCCACTCCTCACTGGTGATTTCTCTCCTGGGTTATTTCCTGGGCATGGTCTTGAAAGCAACTCTGGAAGAAGACCTAAGCCTTCATGCACTGCCCAGAGAAGATCCCCTTGTCTGATGGAAATGCTGTCATGAAGGCCAGCTCTGTCACAGAAGTGCCCACTGCCTGTCCCTACCTGCAGTTAAAGGACTTCCACACCGTGGGACGCTGACCACAGCACAAAACCACTCACATCTTAGACCAATACAAGGGCTGAGCTGGCAGGTCCAGAGAACGACTTGGAGGAAGGATCTCAAAGCATGTCTCTACAGTGTCCTTTATTTTGTTTAACCACAATGAGAGCATGGATCCTCATTTACACAGACTCTGGTTCACACAAAAGATTGATAGATACTTAATGAGAACAGGAAAAAATAATGACACACTTTTTAGCAGAGAACATAATGTGAAGTAAAACAAAGAAAACAAAAAAAATCAATCCCAAAAGACCCAACTAGAAACTACAGACTGAGATCCTGTATGTAATCAGTTACATTTAGAGTTATCTACAGAAGACACATATTTTATTGTTTCTGAAATTCATCCTGTTACCAGTTTCCTCAGGGCATCCTTGAGTTCCTGGTTCCTCATGCTGTAGATGAGGGGATTCATTGCTGGAGACACCACCGAGTACAGAAACGACACCACCAGGTCCAGGGATGGGGAAGAGATGGAGAGGGGCTTCAGGTAGGCAAAAAATGAAGTGCTGATAAAGAGGGAGACCACGGCCAGGTGAGGGAGGCATGTGGAAAAGGCTTTGTGCCAGTCCCTGCTCAGAGGGGATCCTCAGCACGGCCCTGAAGATCTGCACATAGGAGAAAAGAATGAAAACAAAACACCCAAAAGCTAAACAGACACTAAGCACAATAATCACAACTTCCCTGAGGTGGGATCCTGAGCAGGAGAGCTTGAGGATATGGGGGATTTCACAGAAGAACTGGTCCACAGCATTGCCTCCACAGAGGGGTAGGGAAAATGTGTTGGCAGTGTGTAGGAGAGAATAAAGCAATGCAGTCCCCCAGGCAGCTGCTGCCATGTGGACACAAGCTCTGCTGCCCAGGAGGGTCCCGTAGTGCAGGGGTTGGCAGATGGCAACATAGCGGTCATAGGCCATGATAGTGAGAAGAGAAAACTCTACTGTTATCAAGAAGACAAAGAAAAAGAGCTGTGCAGCACATCCCAAGTAAGAGATGTCCCTGGTGTCCCAGAGGGAATTTACCATGGCTTTGGGGAGAGTGGTGGAGATGGAGCCCAGGTCGAGGAGGGAGAGGTTGAGGAGGAAGAAGTACATGGGGGTGTGGAGGTGGTGGTCGCAGGTGATGGCGGTGATGATGAGGCCGTTGCCCAGGAGGGCAGCCAGGTAGATGCCCAGGAAGAGCCAGAAGTGCAGGAGCTGCAGCTCCCGTCTGTCTGCAAATGCCAGGAGGAGAAATTCAGTAATGGAGCTGCTGTTGGACATGCGCTGCCTTAGGGCAAGAGGACCTGTCCAGGGAGGAAAAGCACACTGAGAAGTTAGGGCAGAATTCTTTGAGCAAATCTCTATGCATTAGTCAGTGCTCTGTCCCTTGTTCCTACCCAAACACACATTACTTCCCTCCTTGTTCGTCTCTCAAGCTAGATGTTTGGGTTGTGCAGGCTGAGTGAGTTTCCAGGATGAGTAGCCTTGGCCCATCAGCTCCAGAGCAGTCAGCCCTTCTCTACAGCAGAGGGTATGAGACAGAAAAGGTATGAAATCAACAGTTCATGTCAGCTGGACTGAGGCCCTGAGAAGGGATGACTTTGACCTTGAAAGGATTCCAATCTACCCCTGAGAGAGCAAACATGAACAAGAGGAGCTGCAAGATGAGCAAGCTTATCAACTGCAGTAAGAGAGCATAACAACTCTGAACCAATAAGAAAAGAGACATGTCGGAAAAACTGATAACCCCATACTTGGAGCTAGTTTTAGGTGGATAGAGATACCAGAAAGCTTGGAGCCTGAAATTTTGAACTTTTCATCTTACTACGTTTGCGTGATGAGCTTATGCATATTAACTTCTCCGCCCTGGCAAGAGCCAGGGTTCATTTCCATGAACATGCGATGTATGAACACATACATGAAGGGGCGTGTCAGTAGGTGAGCTGGAAAGTCTGTCCACCCTGTAGTAAAAGTATAAAGGAACAAAGGAGGAGAGTAATAAAGGCTTTTGGCTTTTGGCTTTTGGCTTCTGTGTTAACTTGCTTTAAAGAAGAATCTGTCTTATAGTTTTGTCCATTGCAACTGTAGTTTTGTCTGTCTCGACCATGAACAGGGAAAGGGTTTAAGACAAGCAGGCAAGCAGGGAGGATAGGGTAAAGATTTAAAGTGCCGGCACAAAATAACAAACAATTAAATTCACTAATTTACTGTTATCCCCACCCCAGTTCCTAATTCAGGTCACATGAAAGCTCATAATACCAAAATTTTGTTACTCAACTCAAGTCCATATATCCATATTCCATATCCAAAAACCAAAACCACAGTCAGTCAATACAGAATAAAACAGACACCAAATAACCAGAATTGTACTCAGGGCTAGCTACCTGATAGACCCAGCCCAGTCTGGGACATCTTCTCACGACTTACGGGTCTTTTACCCAGAAGACCAGTCCCAACACCAGAAAACACCAGAATACCAGAAAAATCTGAAATATGAAAGAATACATTATTGCTCAGGTGGTCCTTGTCTGCCCCTGCAACAATCTGGATGAGATGACGAGTCCCTCCAAGAGAAATCTCCAGGGGTACCCTAGGGAGTCATTTTCTCAACGAGTTGAGCAGCTGGTCAGAGACTGTCCCATCTGGGGTGACAAAATGAAGCTGAGAATTCAGTCTCAATAGCCGTAGTAGCCATTAAGCAGTATTCTTTATTTGACAAGTTGGACGCAGAGGGGATCATTCCTCCTAATATGCATGTCAATGAACTGGAGTTTATGATATTTATACACAATTAGCTTACATAGTCACGTAATTTCCAATAATTAATTATCATATTCATTACTCTTCTGAGAAATCATTATAATATGTTCCTGCCCACTTCCGCATGCACACTACAGTCTCTAGGTGGTCTTCTAGGACCCCTGGTGGTCGTTTACTTCATTCTCATCTTCATCACAGTGTCCTTTCTGTGAACTTGGTTCTGTCTTCCCTTTTCCCTTACAGCTGAGACCACAAAACCAGTTGTATCTGGTAGTTCTGCAAGCCTCAGCATCCTTCTACCATTATCTTGTTTTTCCTAGATAGGAGTGTACCTAAATCAGTGTAAGCACACAGGCTCCATCTGTGGAGATGCTCAGAATGCAACCTGAAATGGTTCTCAGCAACCTGCTGTAGCTGCCCCTTCTTTGAGCAGTATTTGGACTAGGTGATGTCCAAAGGTCCCTTCCAACTCCAACTGTTTTGTGATCCTGTGATTCCGTAATGTCTGGCAGTGTTTCTGAGAACTTTTCTGTGGTATCCCCAAACCAGTTTGAGTCCTGGTGTCCATGGAGCGGAGCAGAGCATCCTTCTGAGGATGAACCCATTCACCATGTAACCCTGAGGATTTACTGAACCAGGGATTACAAATGCCAGCAAAGCCTCAGCATGCAGCAGTGTCTGCTGGCCACACCTCCACTGACCAGTCCCTCCCTCTACAGAAGTTTGGGTCAGAAGGGACCTCTGGACATCTCTAGCACCGCGGGCTGCACTGATCAAGGATAAGTTTACAGTTAGATGAGATTAGCCAGTCTTTCTCCTGTCCCAACTCTAATCATGATGAATATTTTCCCGGATTAACCTCTTTAGAAATGAGAGTTTAGAAAATCACAGTCACCTGGCCCAGTGCTGGCCCACTGTCACTGTGGGTTTGTTGTTTTTTTTTTTTTTTTTTATTATTATCTTAACCTCATCTGAAATCATACCTCCTGCTTCTTGTCCTTGTGATCTCATGCCCTTTCCTCCCCCTCATGGTGCCTACCCAGATCATCCATCACACCGACTCAGAGCAATGCTAATCACAACCTACTCTCCAAGCATGACCTCACTGGGACCCCCTAGGGCCATGCAGGCAGGCTGTTGTGGTCAGCTCCACACAGGAGGACTATAGCACCAAGAGCCTGGGGGCACCACTCCTTCCTCAGCCACTTCACTGGCCTGCTGGAGCACCAGGACATCAAGGACTTGTGACTCAGCAACAACCAACAGACCCAGAGTCTGGACATTGCCTTGATTTAGCTGAACATCATCATTTTTCCATTGGAGGCCGTTGCCCAGCCC